GTGAGTGTGCCCCCCTAAAAGTGTTGCCCCTGGTGTAAAAGTAACGATGGTCCTTCTGCGCCAAACAGACAGGCACCTTTAAAAACTTAAATTACTCAAAAAAAAAATAAAAGAGTGAAAACAGTGAAAAAAAAAGAACACTAAAGCAAATACATATGTACATAAATATATAAGCAAATAAGCGCACAAGTGAACAAATAGGAACCTTTTAAAAAATTATATAAAATTTAATTGCACGGGCGCGCCGCGTAAACAAAATTTACACAAAACAAAATTTCGGGCGCGAAAACAAAAAAAAAAAATAATAATCTTCAATAATAAAAATAGAGGACAACCAACAGCCAAGCAGCAATATTAAGCGAGGACGCAAAGACAACGAGGGAGGAGGATATTAGTCCAAGCGCAGGCCCACCAAAGAACAATACAGTTCACCAGCAAGAGCAGCCCATAATACCCCAAAGCCCTTAATATATCAAAGTGAGTTGTATCGTTCCACTTATTTTTAACTAACCTAAAAATCTGGTGAAAAAGCGAACTGGGGTTAAATTAACTCGAATTTAATTCCCATAACCTCATTTTCAGCTGGCGGTGAAAATTCAAATCACGTTCATATACGTAGATACCCAAATACATATGTACACACATATGATATTGCCCTATAAACATATATATACAGTCCACTTAATAAACTTACACCCCAGCTTAGCTTAACATAAAAGGCGCATAAATAATTATACATATATAAATAAATACTGTATGTAAGTACATACAGAAATCACCCAAAATAAATACAGTTCGCTTTAGAAACTATATATCAATAACAAGAATTCCTCCGCTTATGTGCTTAAATTTCGTGTAATAAAACACAAACAATTATACCGCAAAACATATTCAAGTGGAAACTTGCAAATATTTCCAGCAATACCCCTTCTGTTTGTATAACAAACAGCAAGCAGGATTGCATAAACAAGTAAGCTACAAAGCAAAATAATAACTAATAAGAATTGGCGGCAAAATAACGAATAGCGTATGTGCACATAAGCACAACAATACATACGACATAACATTATTCCCCAATTGCCATTTCTTCACCTAATATAATACAGGCTTAATATTGGTGGTCAATATACATATGTACATACTCCCGTTCTTTGAACCCAAAATAATTTTGAAAACACAAACGGGCATACATCATATACAAAGCAACGAAAACGAAATTATAAATTATCTCTTTCTCCCGTCCTTCGCTAGTAAACATAGTTACACACACACTAACTATTGTTAACCACCCGCGCTTAACCTATGTTAATATATGGTAGCATTGCGTGCAAACATTAATATACTGACATACATACCTACTAACCCAGTAGTGCATATACCTTATACGGCGCACGTAAAGGAAAAATATTAAGAAGCGCGGAAAAATAAAATCCCTCAAGTTAAAGATTTAATTTGCGATAATTTAATGAGCAATTTTTAATTGAAAGAGAAAAAAAAAAATACCAACCCATCGAAATTATTAAAATTTATATTACGAAAAAAAATAGTCATACATACGCACGTAAATAATAAAACTCGAAAGAGAGTATTGCGGATACATTGTGTCACTATAAAGAAAAGTAAGTCAAAATCCGATCGACTATACGGGCACTCACATTATTCCATCATTCGTGGGTATTAAGATACATAGAAAAAAAAACAATTTTATAAATTCTCGAGTTCACATTTAAATGCAAACGAACAAGTCTCCCATCAAAGAACCGAAAACACCTCAATTGCTAGATATACCGAAAATGGTTGACGAAGATAAGCATCAAAGCACCCCTGCAGAAGCTACACGCTCAAAACAGGGTGCGAAGCAAAAAAAGACCAAAGATTTTTCGGCCGCAAAATTTATTGCGGAAAGTGACAGTCTAATAAGATACTGCACTAGGTTTTCCGCAGCCCCTATCCAAGACAATTCAGAATCAGTTCTGGAAGTAAAAACCCAAAGTCTTGATAATTTTTGGACACGTCTCCAATCGGCTTACGACGCCATAATTGAAACTGAGGATTCAGATTTACCTGAAAATTTTAAATCCTCGGCTTACGCCAAATATGAAAATTGCTTAGACCAATACGAAGAAACAAAGGCTATGATTTCCGATCAACTAAAATTAATAAAGCCATTAAATGCACCTACTCCACCCCCGAGAGTAGAGCTGCCCCAGATACAAATCCAAGAAGCAAGTTCAGGCATACATCTTAAAGTGCCAGCATGTGATACAGAAGTATTTCATGGAGGTTATGAACAATGGCCGCTGTGGTGTAGTGGTAAGCAGTGCGCGCTTTCACACATCAGCACCTGGATTCAAGCCCTGGTCAAAGCAACATCCCAAAAAATATAGAAAAAGTTTTTTCTTAACAGCGGTCGTCCCTTGGCAGGCAATGGCAAACCTCCGAGTGTATTTCTGCCATGAAAAACAGCTTCTCATAAAAATACAATCGCCGTTCGGAGTCGGCGTAAAACTGTAGGTCCCTCCGCTTTGTGTGACAACATCAAGGCGCACGCCACAAGTCGGAGGAGAAGCTCGGCCAAACACTAACATATGTGTAAGCGCCAATCTATTATTATTATGAACAATGGCCGTCCTTCCGGGACATGTTTACAGCCGTATACATAAACCATCCAAAGTTATCTCAAGCGCAAAAACTGTATCACCTCAGATACAAAACAAAAGGTCAAGCAGGCGCTATAGTTAAACAATTCGCACTTAGTGACGATAATTTTAATCTGGCTTGGGAAGCATTAAAATCACGATATGAGAATGAAAGAGTATTGGTCGACAATCAAATAACGATTTTAATGAACTTGCCAAAAATTCAAAAGGAAACAAGCGAAGAATTCATGAAATTACAGTCCACTGTATCAAACTGTTTGTCGGTTCTCGCGACACAGAAAATTCCCACGGATAGTTGGGACCCTATTCTGGTAAACGTATGCGCTGCAACTTTACCAGAAAAATCGTTACTCTTATGGGAGCAATCGCTCTCATCCCGAAAAAAATGCCCAACGTGGCAACAAATGAAAGACTTCCTCACTACCCAATTCGAAATCGCAGAAAGGGTAGATAAAAAAAATATCAAAGCCGAAAAATACACAGCTCGACCTCAATAGAAGCTACAATAGACCCCAAGCCAGTAACAATAATTTACATAATCGAAGCTTCAACAGAACTCAATCGTTCATCTCAGAACAGAACAAACGTATGTCATGCGAATTTTGTAAAGGAGGTCACTCATTAAGATCTTGCGAGAAGTTTAAAAAACTTACAACAACCGAACGATATAATGTCGTTAGAAATAATAGACTTTGCACAAATTGCTTCTCACATTCTCACATCCAAAAAGACTGTGAAAGTAAATTCAATTGTGTATACTGCCAAAAGAGGCATCACTCGATGCTCCACATTAATAATTTTACCCCCCAAAACAGCTCCAACTCACAAAGAGCCACAGGGCTAGTTGCAACAGCTAGACCCGAACACCCCGAAAATCTCGAAAACGAAACCGAGAAACCATGCTGTTCAAAAACAGCAAATATACAAGCGCTTCATTCCGAAAATGAAAGCAAAATTTTACTGCCAACCGCGATTGTCTCGATTGAACATCGAGGAGAATTATTCAAGCTTAGAGCTCTAATCGATCAAGGCTCACAAAGATCGTTTATCTCATCAAAAGTACAAAACCGGCTAAAACTCCCAACCACAAACTCAAACTTTGAAATTTCGGGAATGGGTGGAAGAGTAATACAAAACTCTAATAAAATATGCTCATTAACCCTGATTTCCCCCAATGCGGATGTAAGAATAGAGGCACACGCCATAGTTCTGCCGCAACTTACAAATATGCTTCCAAGCTATAAAGTAAATGGCAAAGATCGCCAAAAATTTGCCCACCTAAAATTAGCGGATCCCAACTGCCACACCCCCGCGCAAGTTGATATCCTATTAGGCAGCGACCTAATCCCCCAAATAATGCTAGAAGGCATTGAGAAAATTTCAAATACCCTGTTAGCCCAAAATACCATCTTTGGATGGATATTGAGCGGCCAAATAAAAGAAAAAATATCGGTATTCACAACACAAGTTGAAGATATTTCAAACGAACACCTCAATTCTCAATTAAGAAGATTTTGGGAGTTAGAAGAACTCCCCCCCATGCAAGTCATTACCCCAGAAGATAAGTATTGTGAAGACTATTATAAAGCCACAACTACAAGATCAAAAAACGGCCGCTACGTTGTACGGCTACCATTCAAGCCACAATTTCCCGACACACTCGCCTTAGGCCACTCTCGAACCTCAGCACTTCAGCAATTTTTAAGTATGGAAAAAAAACCTGCTTAAAAAAGGCGAGCTAAAGACCTCGTATGACAATGTACTCGAGGAATACCTCCAATTAAATCATATGGAAGTAGTCGAGTCATATGAAAAAATTACAAAAGGTAAATATACTTCATTTTACCTCCCACACCATGCAGTAATAAAGCCAGAAAAAACTTACAACAAAAGTAAGAGTTGTATTCAATGCCTCGAAATGCACAAGCTCAGGCAATTCATTAAATGACGTATTATATACGGGACCCACACTACAACCTGATTTAATGCTCCTAATACTAAATTGGCGCATGTTTAAATACGTTTTCAATGGGGATGTCGAAAAAATGTACAGACAAATCCTTGTGCATAAAAACGACCAAGATTTTCAGCGCATTATATTTCGCAATTCACCTAGTAGTCCAATACGCGACTACAAATTAAAAACGGTGACATTTGGCGTAAATTGCGCCCCCTTTCTTGCCATTCGAACACTTCACGAATTGGCAAACGATATAAAAGAAAAATTGCCTCTAGCAACCCCGGTGTTAAAAACACAAACTTATGTGGACGATATCCTGTCGGGAAGCCACAGCTTACCCCAAGCATGTGAATCACTATCTCAAGTGATCCAAGCCCTCAACTCCGCAGGGTTCCCCTTAAAAAAGATAACGGCCAACCACCCCGAAATATTAAAAAATATAAATAAAGATCACATATTAGACACAAACTTCCTCATCTTTGAAAAAGAAAGTACCACCAAAACTCTGGGAATACGATGGAATGCGATATCAGATCAATTCTCATACACTCTTGAGTCAATATCTGCAATATCCGCAAAAACCAAAAGGCAAATCCTGTCGTCTGTGGCAAAACTTTTTGACCCCGCAGGATGGCTTGCACCAATTATGATCCAAGCAAAGATACTCATTCAAGAATTGTGGCTAGACGGAACAGATTGGGACGAACAAGTTAAACCACTAAGCTTGATAAAATGGTCCCAATTTGCCAACAATCTGAACACTATTTCGGAAATACAAATCCCTCGATGGGTAAACTACTCTCCCGAACATCAAGTCGAACTTCACGGCTTCTGCGACGCCTCTGAAAAGGCATACTGCGCTACTATATACGTGCGCACACAACAAGATAGCAAAACAACAAGCCACTTGCTAGTCGCAAAAGGCAAAGTGGCTCCGCTAAAGACCGTAAGCCTACCACGACTTGAGCTATGCGGGGCGCTCCTCCTTGCAAAACTAGCCTCCACCGTTCAAACCCACTTAAGCCTGAACAATCGCAAATTACATCTATGGACTGACTCTGGAATAGTTTTAGCTTGGTTAGAAAAACCACCCCATATGTGGAAGACATATGTGTCAAACCGCACAGCCCAAATAATTGACTTAGTTGGGCCAGCAACTTGGCGACATGTAGCCAGTGCTGACAACCCAGCCGATCTTGGCACAAGAGGTTGCAAACCCCTGCATCTCGCCACCACCTCACTCTGGTGGAACGGCCCCAGCTGGCTAACAGAATCACAAGAATTCTGGCCACAATCCCCGATACGCAACATAATACCCCCCGAAAGTCGAAAAATTGAAAGCTTTCATGCCGTATTGAATGATACTGACATACTGGAGCGATTTTCATCGTTCCCCCGAGCCCTCAGAGTAATAGCTTATATGTTTCAGTTCATAACTCGCCTCAAAAATGAAGTAAAAGGAGCGCCTAACCCCCCGCATCATGCACTAACACACCAAGATCTGCAACGGGCTAAAATGACTCTGATTATGTCTACTCAGACCCGCTATTATGACCGGGAAATAGCACTTTTGATGGTATCAAAGCCAATAGATAAAAAGAGCCCACTCTTAGCTCTTAATCCCTTCCTAGACTCGAAGGGACTGCTACGCGCCAATGGACGTCTGGCAAACTCCTGTTTGAGTTATAACGAGCGGCACCCAATAATAATACCCGAAAAATCCCCATTCGCCACACTGTACATAAATTATTTGCACTTATTGATGCTACATGCCGAACTTCGGCTCATGCAGCAAATGATACGACAAGAGCTTTATATCCCACGACTAAAGCCTCAGATAAAGAAATGTATTTTCCTGTGTAAAGTCTGCACTCTACATAAGCAGAAAATGCGCACGCAGATCATGGCAGCTCTACCACCTGAACGCTGCAATTTCTCTTTGCCCTTTACCATCACGGGTGTTGACTTTGCGGGGCCTTTCCAGATAAAGGCCTCTATGTTAAGGTCTTCCACCTTTACGAAGGGCTATGTGGCCGTTTTTGTATGTTTTTCGACAAAAGCGGTACACCTTGAGTTATGTTCAGATCTGACAACTGTAGCTTTTCTCGCGGCATTTGCCCGCTTTGTCGGAAGGCGTGGATTTCCCTCAAAAATAATGAGCGACAATGGCAAAACATTCGTCGGAGCCCAAAGGGCCACGGAAAGGCAATTTATCCAATTTATTAAGGAAGTCTCGCCTGAAATCATAAAGAAATATGCACCCCAAGGAATTAATTGGCAATTTATTCCCCCTAGCGCTCCACACATGGGGGGACTCTGGGAATCCGCCGTAAAAAGCTTTAAAGCGCATTTCAAGAAGATCGCTGGTAATTACAAATTTACTTATGAAGAGTTCACCACTCTATTAGCTCGAATTGAAGCCGTTCTCAACTCACGGCCTCTCAATACCCTCTCGCAAGATCCCTCCGAGTTCACAGCCCTCACCCCTGGGCATTTTCTCAGAGGAGCTCCACTTCTGGCCATACCCGAGCCAGAAACGCAATCCCTATCACTCACGAATCGATGGGAAAGAATTAAAGTTCTCCATCACGAATTTAGCCGTCGATGGAAGGAGGAATATCTAAAAGACCTCCATAAAAGATACCGATGGAAAAACACTCAAGAAGCGCCAAAGATTGGAGACTGTGTCCTAATTCATGACGAATGTCTTCCCCCTACGGAATGGCGGCTCGGCCGCATAGAGAAAGTATATCATGGCTCCGACGGTCATGTCCGCGTAGCTGATCTCCGTACACAAAGCGGCATACTAACTCGACCGCTCGTCAAGCTATGTTTCCTTCCAACCGCCTCCCCTACCGATGGCGCGAATACCGATAGCTAAAATCGTCAAACCGCAATAAACGCAACGAAGCCGTAACAAAACCCGATAATATAAAAAGTGCCTAAATCCGTACCCTCGAACTCACACCAAGTGGCTTACACCTAGCAATCACGCTCATAACTGATGTATGCTATACTAAAGTCCGTTCTCCCCTAATGTAGGAAAATATGGACGTGGAAATGCTTGAAGCCGCACCAACGCCAACTATCCGTTCGGCAATCACCGTGCCCCGCTCGGCAGCACCGCCAGTAGCAGCTCCTCGCTCTACCGTGCCACGTACCGCAGCAGCTCCGGCCGCAGCGCCTCGAAACCCCACGCAACGACCCGCCGCCGCCCCGATGGCATCACTACGTGCCGAACCTCCACAAAGGAGCCCAGCAGCCGTACATGGCGTACGATGCCCACTGTGTCGTCGCCCACACAAACTCCGCCTATGCTCCATTTTTAGGAGTATGCAGCCGCCGCAGCGCCAGCAAGTCGCGCAAGCTCATGGGTACTGCCTGAACTGCTTGGCGCTGTCGCACGCCACGAGGGAGTGCGACTCCCCCATCATGTGCCAACTGTGCGACAGACCGCACCACACGCTGTTGCATCGCATCCCCGCACGAATCATGCCCGAGACACCAGTTGCCCGCAGCAATGGGCGACGAAGACCGCAGGGCAATATAGCACGATCGCGGCGACCACCAGCACAACAGGGCCACCGCACTTTTAACCACCCCGGGGCTCGCTATCGCGCTCCAGCAGGGACCCGTCGCCGACACCAGCCCACGCAACGCCCCCGTCGGGCAACCGGACTAAGCAACGTCGTGGAGACCCTGCAGCAACTCCAGCAGCTACTAGGCTGAAGACTCGCCTAGGGGGGCCGGGATGGCTAAATGAGTTTAGCTGTTCCCCCCTATTGTCTATGGTGAATGG